GGCTGTAACTCCTTTTCTGCCATCGCTTCATACAAGAGCGAGAACCTGGACGCAAAGCATCTTCTTCAGAGGAGGTGCAACTAGAGCTGTCTTTCCAAAGAGTTAACCATGAAAGGATGAAAACAAATTACTTTTTTTTTTTCCCCTTCAGAAGTTGTAAATATTGAGTAGAATGGCTTGTCAGCTTCCGGAAGCAAAGGCCAGTTTTCATGCTGGTTACGGTGCAGTTCATTTACAAACAGTGCAGGAGAACAACATCACCCGCCCTCCCCATCCCAGCAAGTTCTGCTGTCACAAAAGTGTTTATGTCACTTAATAAATTCATGGCATGATGTACTTGTCTCTTGAAGGCAATAAGGCTCGCAATTCAAAGACAAGTTGATGAGACTTTCAAGCAGCAACGTTTTAGGGCAACGTTCCAATAAAAAATCAAAGATATTTTAGAAAAACATATCTTGCATTATTCATATTATTCAACCTAAAAAAAGTCTACATTTTTTAATTCTGACACTTGCAACAGAGGAGAGAGCTATGAAGTCCTGACGTATCTTCCCAGCGCTATGGTGAGAAACAGCAATAGAAAAGTCTTTGCATGCCTCACGTGCAGTTAGCAAAGGTCTCTTCATCCACCAGAAATACGCACAGGTCTGAATTGTATACAAAAGAAATACAAGAAGAATGAAGTGGTCCATCTGGAGCAGTACTGATGTCTTGTATAACCTCTGCTATAGGGGATTGTTTCAACCTCAGCACACCCCAAGAGTGGCTCTCTCTAAACGTTGTACAAGCAAGACCAGGTGTACAGGAAGAGGTAGTACCGTTTGTTAGATAAATTAGCATGGCTGGCAAAATGAGAGAGGGTTTCAAGTACATGAAGTATCCTTCTTCAGAGGAAATAAGATTCTATTTTTCAAACAAAACCAAACAAATGAAATTAAAGGTCAGATAGAGGTTGGAGGAGATTGCTCAGAGTTGATACACGCGACATAATCTTAGAAGTAGAGGTTGTCTCCTGCAGACTAGACGGGATGTTAACAGAAGGCAACTGGGAGCAGGTAAGCTGGTTATGTCCTTGGGGAAAAGAAAAACAGGCAGTTTACAGCCTGTGGGATGTTGAAGGACTAGTAAAGGAGGAGAGGGAAGGGTAAACCTGTGCAGGAACACTGATACCCAGTCTGTGGGTGTCGATAGGCAGCACATGTCCCTGCAGACCTTGCCATGCCCACAGCCAGGCCACCAGAGTAGGATGTGTCACTGCTTCATGCATGTGCCTATCTGAACAGAAACCAGACGCACTGCATGAAGTTATGTACCTTCACAGGACACTTGAGCACACTTGGCTTCAAAGGCTGAAGATTTGCTCAAGAAATGTGTGGCTACAGCAGGATGTTTCACTGTCTTTGCTTTAGGGAGTTTCTGCGTGGTCCTGCGCTGTCCGTGGTGTCCTGAGCTCCATGTTAGAAATCTGCATCAAGGCAGCACAAGTGTACTTGCTAAATATCTTCATCCTTACAGTTTCTAGGAGTATTGGGCTAGGTACACATCTACATTCAGATGTCCCTGAATTTCTTCTCCTTTCTTTCTTAACTACACATTTCCCCACAAACCCACAGCTGTCATGGTGCCCCAGCCACGTTTACACTGTGGAGGATGCGACGAGGGTGGAGACAGGCAGCAGAGCACACGGCTGTGCCTGGTGTCAGCCCCTGGCTGTGTCTGGTAGGAGACATGTAGCAGCACCACTGAGATCAGGGAGGTTCCCCTGTTCCTCTCCCATCCATTCATGTGCCCAACAACTCCCAGGACAGAGCAGGGGGAGACGCCAACGTGACCGCAGCGACGCCTGCAATCGAGTACACATGGAGCGTGCTTTGTGGTATTATTTATTTAGGAACTGTGAGCAACTACAGCTGTAGCGTTCTCATCTTTGCAATTCTGATGGTTTAACAAACTGGGAGAACATCAGCATAGTTTTATTAAGGTACAAAATACACCCCGTTGTTGCCTAAAACATTTAAAAAACGTGAGGAAAGCTCTGTATGCTCTAAATCAGATTCAAAACCTTTCTGTATAAGGAATTGTGGCAATACTGTGTTTAGTATAACAAGAGGTTTTTTTATCAATTGAAAAGGAAAATACATGCTGGCAATCTGAACTTAGCAACAAAGAGTAAAGCGGTTAAAACCCACATTGTCATCCACACTAGTTGGGCTTTGAATGTAGAAGAGCAAATCATATGAAACACGTACACAGCTAGGTAATATCAAACAACCTAAGGTTGTACACACCTGTATTGAAGTACACTGACTACTTAGTGGTGAGGATTTAAGGTAATGTTTGTTTTTTTTGAAAGAGGTAACCTTTGAAATGCAAATGGTTGCACTTTACACACAAAAAAAGTGGAAAAGGAAAAGAATCACTTTTGGAATGATACATAGATATAAGACACACTGGTTTTGGATTATGCAGATCACCTCACAGCCTCTGATATTACCTCTGAACAACAACAAAAAATTAAAAAGTGCCAATACTGTGATAGGAAAGCAAAGTTACTAAGTCTGAGTGCATTAACCATTTCTGAGAAAAAAAAAACAACTGGGGTTTGGATTTTTTTGTTTGTTTGTTTTGCTTTGTTTCTCTACATTTTTAAAAAACGCAACAGCCTTACTGGTGCAGGTTTAAGACAAAAACAAGACAGTCAAGCTCATAAGGTAGAAATAGGTCCTATATAGGTTAAGATTCTTTGGAAACTGCTAAGTATAAAGGAGTTTGTAATCCAGGCTACTATTTTTTTTTGCTACTCCAAAAATCTGCGGGAGTTTCCAGCTTATCATCAGTTGAGATCTGTTTTGTTTTGCAATCGCCAAATAAACGCAAGTAAAAGTTTAACTAACCTGGGATTCCATTCACACACATGCACATAGAAGTCACTGGTTGTGCAATAACCTGTTTTTTTTTCACAGCAGCATTTATATGAATCATAAGTCATTATGAGACTGACCAGAACAACAGAAAATATTCTCAGTCTTTGTGTTCTTAGTCTGTTTCTTTAAGTTGTCACAGCTGTGACTGTGCTGAAGTGACAGGTTCTGTAAGGGAAAGGTGACAAGGTGTGATCAGCTGGTTAGAGGCAAGATCAGAAGTATCTCAGGAAACCAGCTGGTTGTTTAACTTGAGCCAGTATTACAATGGCACTAACAGTGCACTGAGAAAGGGCACAAGATGTGTTTGAAGTTAGGACTGTGAAATTCTGTTTAATGAAAAATTAACCATACCAACATACACATTGCAATGCTGGCTGTGTCAGACCTTCCCTTATAATAGATACTGCTCAGGAAACAACCTGGGTCTTAGGACTGGAGAGATTCACTGTGTGTCTGGCAAACGATTCCTTGTAAAGTACATCTTGGGGAGCTGACTTAGCTGCAGTTTGGTGATGGGTGAGGTGACGGGATAGAGCAATGAGCTCAGTAAATGGACTTTTTCTTTAAGATGTTCAGAATATAACTGTAAACTTGTTTTCCATACATTTGATTTTCAAAATAGACTGGGCAACTTAGTTGATTTTGATGACCTGCTTAAAGTAAATCCAATCATGCTAGCAACTTAAAATCACCTGCTGATTTGAATTAATGCCCATACATAAAGGAAACCAGTATCAACTGATGATGCTGAAAAAACAACCCCCCAAAGACCTACATATCACACAAGGTGCTTTTGATAACTTGGTTTTCTGAGCCTTATAAGGAGAGTCTTTAAATATATTTTTAATTATTTTTGTTTCTTTGAGCCTTGTTTCATTCTTCCTCCTCCTCATCTTCATCCTCTCCTTCTTTTTCTTCCATTGTTTCCACAAGGAGTTCTGCAGTGCACGTGGCTTCCCCAAGGCTGTTGACAGCTTTGCAGGTGTATTTGGCATCATCGTCCCCACATACTTCAGAAATAGTCAAAGAACAGTTCCCTTCCTCATCATAATCTATCTGGAAGTGACGGGACTCCTTGACAGGCTGATCATCTTTGTACCACATTACCTC